GGAATGTTCTGTTTTTTTGATATTATTGAGGACCCAGAAACAGTCGCAGGATCTTGAACTAGGAGAAACACATTCTATAGCAGACACCCGCATTTAGTAAAGGAAACCCAACATTATATTCACATGTCATGTCGTAGATTCAAAAGGGGACAATGCTCACACATGGAGAGGACAGCCCAAACATCCAAAACACGATCACATCTGTCTGACAAAAAACAAGTTGAAGGCTGAATCGCCAGTCTTGAGCGCACGAGCGCCCTATGGGCCGGGATAGGCACAAACACCGCAAACACATTTCTTCAACTGGGCCTGCGCTCACCTGTAAGCGCCTCCGTTTCAAAGGAAGATTTCGCACAAAGGTGCACGGGAAGCCAACAGAAAACAGGCCAGCTTGGGTTGCCACGTTTTCGGAGTTTGCTGAAGCGGGCCTCGATGCAACTGTTGGATCCTGTAAGGATGCTTGGAGAAACATTATTCTCATATGTTGGCCCTAGTTTGCTGCAAATTCCAGACCAACATCAACCTGGGTGCCGAAAGACTGCCACTCCTTTATTCGCCTAAAGAGCCCGCCCTTCCCGGGCGCCTCCCCTGTCTAAGAAGGACCCATTGGACCACTTTGTTTCGACCCAACATGCGTCCAAGAATCTGAAGCGCCCCCAAAACAAGCCGAAGCAGGGACTCCCCAAACAAGAAAATGATGCCAGTTCAGAGGCCACGGCGGTCAGTGGCATGGATGGCAAGCCGCCTGTAGCTAAATCCTGCTTTAGCGTGCGCGCGACGGGCGTGGTCAATGTGATGCCTTGCGAGCCGACCCATGCTCCGCATTGGCTCTGATGGAATGCAGCGTTTCATTATTCATTTGTTTGTCTCACTGCAGCTTCATCGTTCGGCAAAGGAGTTCGGGCTTCATGCGTAGAAAAAGACATTTCACACAGTTGACGTTGCTAAAGAGGGATAATTCAGCAGGCTCGTCTACAAACATCTCAATGTCTCACACCATATCTCCAAGCTTCCTGAGGAGCAGAGGATTGTCGCTGTCCCTGTACTTGAAGCGTCGCGCCTTACTTCTGGTGTGTCTTCGTGAAAAGGGTTTGAAATGTTTCTTACCGGCGAACAGTCTCCTGTTTGGGATACCACTTTGCATCGTTCGAGCTGCTAGCATGTTTTTGGCAATCTTCTGGGGGAAGGGCGACAACGGTGTCTTTCTTAAAAAGGGCCCGTGTGGAGTTTTTTTGGATTGACATGAAAAGCGCGCAGTGTAGCAGGGGCAAGCCGTTTTTTTTGGATGTCGCTCTGCCTCCTGGTGGACGGGCTGGGGGTGTCCTCGTTGCTGCGGAACGCGGCATCGCACACCTGGGCCAAGAAAGGCACCTGGGGCGGGACGGGTGGAGGGATCGGTGATTGGTGGAAAAACCAATCCATTTACTTCATGTGAGCAGTAAATTCGCAAGGCTTTTGCCATGCGAGAAAGCTCGCCACCCATGAGGCAAACAGAACTGACATGCACCGACGACCGACGGCTTTTATTGGGCGCTGAGGAGGCCACGGCCCAACCAATTTGGTTATGACGTTGCGTCGTCATCATGTTTGGCAAGAGTTGGCCAAGTCTGGAAGAGCGTGGAAAAATCATGTCAATGCGCACGGTTAGTGTTTACCGTCATATCCAGTACTAGAGGGAACTTCAATGGATAGACTTACACATTTTCCATTAGAGAGCGGGAGTTGCATTAAATTAACATGTCAATCGGCGACACACTGAGGAACGTTGTGCCCCAAAAAGAACGGTTCGTCGAACAAAAACTTGGTTTCGGATGTCTGAAACCTGACTTTTCGCGCAAATTGCTGCTTCTTACCAATATTTTGCAGCGCCGGAAAAACACTGTTAATTCGCTTTTGACCTAAAACGGAAACTGGGGTAGCAGGAAATGATTGTGGCTCATGTTTCTGGGGAGCTTGTTCAAGCTTTGTGCTTCCCAGGTCTTCCTAGTCTTTTTAATACGTTGCTGTCGCACAACCAACCGCGGCTGCGCCGCAAAGGTGAACTTCAATATTTGCTAGCTTTGGCTCCTTAAGTGTTCTCAAGGCCAAGCAGGCGCCTTTGCAATCATACCCTGTGCAAGAAATATTAAGAAGTTGACCCGCGAGACGCAGCTCCACGCGAACAGTCTGCGCACGCGTACAGAGGCCCGCGTGCGCCGGCAGCGTCGCGCGAGCCGCTTGTGCTCAAGAACAGGGTCTGGCCGCAGGAGAGATCAGCCCCTTCAAAACCATTTGTTTTTCTAGTTTTCAGTGTTGGTAACAGTTTTTCTAGCATTTCAATGGCAACGCCCCGCTTCGAGATGCTTTGTCGCGCCGCACGGGCGCGTGCGAACCAACTGTGGCAAGTGCCGAGAACCAGCATGCCCGGCCAGAGCGCCTCTGGAAGCCCAGGATGGTGCCAAAGGCCCCCACACCTAAGCGGCTTCCTGAGGCACGAGTCCTGACACACGCCGACGACCAACGTCAGTACGGTTTCCGGTAGAGCTACGCAAGCGAAGCTTTGGGTCAGAATCTCGAGCGGAATGCCCTTGACAAGCGCGGCTGTGTTTCGAGGAGTCTGTCACTCCAACGCTGCACCACTGCCTCTTCAGGTTAGGGGGCTCGGCCGGGCTCGGGTTTCTGGGGGGATGACAGCTGCAAGTAAGCGCCCAACACCGGCGTCGTGATTCCTTTACCAAATTCAGGTGATGCTGGGGATGTCGGGCGCTGGTCCCTTTGCAGCCCAATTATCGCAAAAATGCCTCCTCATTTTTGAATCCTATATAGTAGGGAAAGTAGCAGCAGCAGCGTTGCCAGCGTCGCGGAAGCATCGCTATCGCTTCCTTGTATCCTCCTAGCGAGGGAAGGTGCGCGGGAATGGCGGCAACGTGTCATTGTTATGCTGACCGCTGCATCATCAGTCATCGTTATCATCTTTTCAAGTCGGCGTGCTAATCATCACTACATGGCGAGGCTGCCGCTCCTTTAGTTTTGTTAATTCCTGTCTTCCACCCCAGCCCATCCAGAAGCTGCGCCGGCATCATCAGTCATCGTTATCATCTTTTCAAGTCGGCGTGCTAATCATCACTACATGGCGAGGCTGCCGCTCCTTTAGTTTTGTTAATTCCTGTCTTCCACCCCAGCCCATCCAGAAGCTGCGCCGGCGTCGAGGGCGCTGACGCTGCCCGCGGTGATGATTCGCTTCGCGCCCTCTGCTAACCTTATCCACTCTTTGCATGTTGCGCTGTTAATAAATGTTGTTTCAAGGGCGCTTGCGGTTCTCTCAAGTAACACGGTGCTGAGAAGGAATGCTTCAAACGCAGCTCAAGTGCCCCGGCCACATGACTTTGAAACTTGAGTTGGCCTTAAACACCGGCCAGGGCCGTCGGTGCAGCGGGCATGGCTGGTGCGCGACTCCGCGCTGCAAGGCCTTGTTTCTCAACTTGTCACGGGCCCTCGAAATCTGACAAGGCCCTTGGCTAGGGGCTTCAAAGCCCTCAAAGCCCTCGAAAGCTTGAACTATGGTGAACACCCTTTGGAATCCAGGACCCCTCCGGTTGGAAGATGCCAGGAAGTAGCGGAAACCATTAGTCTGCTTTGGTCGGTGTCGGATCGCACATGGCTTGCAGATTTGGAGCACCCGGGCTTCACCCTAGTGGACGGCAGCCAGCTGTGGATACATCAGCCGCTGCTCGATCCCGGTTCCAGCGATGCCAAGCAGCGCTTGCAGGAGCCCAGAGGAAGACGGCCGCCGTTTTGCAGATCGCAGCCCGCTGGCCTACGAAGTTGCGGAAGTGAGGCGCTGTTCAAAACGCCAAAAGACATTCATGGCAAGTAGCGAATATTCTTCATTTTATGCAGCATTTGTGCGTTTTTTTCAGGGCCAGCTACTGGACTCTTCGCAGTTTGACCGCAGTTTGACAGGTAAGCTCAAGCCAGTCCAACCGGAACTTTACCCAAAATAAGTCGGAACTTATCTTGCAAGCTTCAAATACGGCCCTCTGGCACTTGGTTGTTGCATGCTTAGAAGCCTTTAATGCGTTTACTTTGCTTCTTGACTTTGCTACGCCTGAAGTAGCTGGAAATCATAGCACTTCTGTAGTTCCGTTGCTCTTGCTGCCTAACATCGCATGGTTGTATTGCCAAACACGTAGTTGACATGCCCATAGAAAAGGAGTGTGAGCTCTTGCCGGCTTGTCAATGAGCACAGTAGCTATCCGGAAATGCGTGACAATTATTGCCTTGTGCGCCTATTGCTGCGGAAGGAGACAGAGACTGCAGTGCAATCAGGAAAGCCCCGCACTCGTTCAAGCAGTTGTGCATCCATGCCCTCATCACGTCTTGCTGCTTTCGTGCTGTGATCTCGCACTTTGCGCAGTTGATTATGTTGAAGCTGGTTGCAGTGTCAATGAAGTAATATCTGTATACAGATATGATAAATATATGAATAAACCGATATGTAATCATTTTGAAAATTGTTTGTGTATGCCTGCCGTGCGCGTACGTCTTTTCCGTCTTTCATTCGTGTCTGTGTTTTTGGCTCTCTTTGGTGATAGAGCAAACCTGCCCTTTTGCCAGACCTTTTGCGTATCAACGTGTTTGCGCAGCACGCTTGCTTGTGCAGCATGCGCGCACCGCCTTTCAGTGAGTACAGTATATGTTCCAAACAGCACGTGAATCAGTACAAATACATTCTATGGGGAAACTCGATTGCCAAAACTGGAAATGTGGGCAATGGGCAACGTAAACACGCTAATGCCAACCAGAAGACACGGGCGCAGAACGATCGGCAGCAACCCCAAGACACAGCCAGCTTCGGCTGAATGGCACAGGCAGAACAGGAGGGCAAATGTGTGAAATGAGCCAAGGCACACACACACACACTCAAAGCCATTGGCACACAGTAAGCAACAAGCTCTTCAAGGTCGAGCGCTGCCAGCAGCAGGCCCGCAGGACAAATGACCAAACCACAATCTTACATACAACGCAAATTGTTTGCGGGTCCTTTGCGGAGACACTGAGGAACTTATGCTACGCGTCCAGGTTCTGAACGTCTTCTTTGCAGAATCCGAATTGAGTTCCACGATAGCAAACAACACTGAACTGAGTTTTGAATGGGTCCGGAGTCTCCAGCAATGCGTGATAATGCGCGAATAAACGCCGGCACGAGACGGGTCTTGCAGCTCTTGACAGGACGCACCATTGAAATCCGAGTAAAGAGATGGGACAACAGCAATGGAGCTACGCTTGACAACAAGCGAGCCATAAATCTGTATCGCGACCAAAGCAAGCAACGACTATTCTCTGACGCCATTCGATGTCTCTAGAGGCATTGCAAAACACGGCTAAACCTAAGCTGCAATGAGTCAAGCACGTGCATGCGTTCATGTACATCCACCCTATGTACAATAAGGCAAGCAACAACTAACACGCATGCACGAAAATTTAGCATACATTGCAGGAGTTTCTCTCGCATATGTTGAACTGTGGTGCATATAATGTTGCCAAATGTTGTGTTGATTCTGCGTGTGTTGTTCCGTGGATTGTAGACACCTTTGTGAAAACATTTGCTGCTGTTCTGTCTTTGAGTGCATAACTGCCGTCAAGCATGTCATTTTGCTGCCGCCTTCCAAGTACATGAATTTCCATTAGCAAGGAGCCTATGATGCAATGACAGACACATTGACCAATGGCATGACTCAAGGCGCCTCCGCGGCCAACTTTCGGCCAACAGAAAAATATCGTTGTATGTTTCCACCAGCTTCCGAGTACGCGGTCGCGGGCTTGGCTTGGCCATAGGCCAAAAGGATGTCTCGCTTTCTTTTTCCCAAGATGTCTCCGCAACCAAATTGGGGCCAACCGGATGTATGATGTTGTTTGTTTTCCCCGGCAGCTTCCGAGTTCCTGGATTTTGTGATCAACGCACGTTGATGGTAAAACTGCGTAAATTCTGAGCAGCGGCCCGTGGCCCGAAAAATGTCTCGGTTTTTCAAAACCGCTGCATAATTTCCACTTGTAGAAGCTCAGCTGTGATTTTCCTGCCCATGCGACAAGCCCTTAAAAGTCATTGATGGGCTTGAACACGTTGAATCTATACAGTGGTTTTTAAAAACCGCGACATTTTTAGGGCCATTGGCCGCGGCTCAGATTTTGCTCGTGTTTGCCACCAAGATTCGAAGGCGCTTGGGGACAAAACCATGTACTCGGAGGCCGGTGGAAAAAACTGAGACATCCAGTTGGCCCGGAGACGCCTTGGGAATAAAACCGAGACATCCTGTTGGGCCCGATCTGGCTGTGGCGTGTTGTGGCCAAAAGTATGTGAGCGATATTCTGTTAGCCGAAATTCGGCTGCGCGGCTCCTTGAAGCGAAGCTCAAGCTCTTGAACCCGGGTGAACAAGATGTTCTATTGTTCAACATGTGCTTGAAAAGGTACTTGGAACACCATAGGCACTTGGAACACCATAAGCTCAGAAGCAAGGAAGAAATAAGTGGTGCATTTTGCCGGCCCCGAATGTATTGAATCGGCGCTTTGGAGACGCAACACAGTTGATTTTCGTATAGAACCCTGCTGGAATCTGCTGGAATGTAACACAATGTGGAAAGCTAGCTGATGTTTTCCTCGTGGAACGTAAAGCCATGTTACTGGAAGTCAATGGGAGGGCACATGAAACACACAGACAGCCGAAGCTATCCCTAGCATGTTTTAGAGAATATCTCTCAAATCATGCACGCCATGTACTTCAATTTATGTGAGGCTTAGCTTCTGGAATCCGGTGTGCTTAGTTGATACCATGCTGTGTGGCGATCAATGTTTGTCCTTTGCAGATCGTACTCTACACGTCAACCATGGCTTGGCTTGCCTTTTAACGAGGTGTCTAATCAGTAGATAAGCATATGCATTTGCCTGATGGATGCTTTCTTGGTTGCTTCCCAGATTATTAAGTGATTTTGAGTGGAAGGAACAATTGCTTGTTAAGTTTGATGTGTTCGTGGCCCCTGCAGAGTTGGTCATAAACGTTAGTTGTTTGGCGATTGCATGCGATTGCTGCGAAATAGTGAATCTAAAATTCAGCAGGTGTTGAACCTGCCCTGATTGCTTGTACTCACATTTGGTTTTGTGGCAGCTTTGGCGGTAAGCCAAACGCGAAAAAATGCGATTGTTATCCTCAACTACGCGCTTTTTTGCATCAACAAGCGCAACACATACCTGCTAAGTAGACTTGCTCGGGCCTGGACGCATGAACTTTCTCAGCGTGTGTAAGCTTGCACGATCTGACGTGTCCTGGAGGCGTGCCGCAAATCTTAACATGCCCATCGCCCTTTGTTTGCGATGATTTTTCGTCTGCACACAATCTCCTAACCCCGAAAGGCAGAAACTTCTAACCCCGAAAGTCGAAACTTCTAACCCCGAAAGGGTTAATCCAAACCATGCACTTCAAACCCCGGAAAACGAAATTATGGTTTCTTCACGACACCGTCCCAAATGAACGAAATACTCCTTCTTCCTTTTCTATATGCTCCTATTCTCCTTCTTTACTCCTTCTTCTTTTTGTATATGCTCCTATTCTCCTTCTTTACTCCTTCTTCCTTTTGTATATGCTCCTATTCTCCTTCTTTACTCCTTCTTCCTTTTGTATGTGCTCCTATTCTCCTTCTTTACTCCTTCTTCCTTCTGTATATGCTCCTATTCTCCTTCTTTACTCCTTCTTCCTTTTGTATATGCAGGAAGGGACTACGGGAAGAGGACGGAAGATTACGGGAAGAGGGAAGAGGACGGAAGATTACGGGAAGAGGACGGAAGACTATGGGAAGAGGACGGAAGGCTGCGGGAAGAGGACGGAAGACTACGGGACGGAAGATTACGGGAAGAGGACGGAAGATTACGGGAAGAGGACGGAAGACTATGGGAAGAGGACGGAAGGCTGCGGGAAGAGGACGGAAGACTACGGGAAGAGGACGGAAGACTACGGGAAGAGAACGGAAGACTACGGGAAGAGGACGGAAGACTACGGGAAGAGGACGGAAGACTACGGGAAGAGGACGGAAGATTACGGGAAGAGGACGGAAGATTACGGGAAGAGGACGGAGCTGAGTCGCCATCTCCGGCAATGTGTCGTGACATCCAGGTCGCCCTGTCCGTTTCGTGGTTGTCTGTTTCGGGGTCATCTTTTCGGGGTTAGGCTTGCAAAGCTTCCGTGGTTAGGCCCGAAAATTCGTGTTACGGGGTTAAGCCTACACATCATTTCGGGGTTAAGGGCTGAATGCGCTTTCGTGGTTAAAAGCGTGTCTCCTTTGTTTGCGATGATTTTTTGATGTGTCCATGTATTCATTTCACAGATTTGCCCTTCTGTTCTGCTTGTGCCTTCCAGCCAGAGCCAGTTCTGCTTTTTGCCCTTAGGTTGCTGCCGCCGTTCTGCACTCCTGTTGGTTGGTTGGCGTTTGCGCGTGCGTTGCCCATTGCCTCTAAGTTTTGGCAGCCCCCAGTCGTATTCCAATGAAGGCCGTGTTTCTGATAAGACAGTTTCTTGGCCAAGCAAATTTTGAGAAAAAGGAGTGTTCACACGCGCTTGCCCTGCAGAACTACTTCGCGCTGAGCCACGCGCTGTTCTGGGCACGCGGTGTCCGAAGTGTTCGCGACATGACACACGTCCTTTGCGAGAGCAGCCCGCAAGCATGCACACACACATACACTCCGACACGCGAATGGGCAAACAAAAGAAACAAAGCAT